GGCTGGGTGGAGATCAGGTGGACCACCTGTAGGGTCGTCTACATCGGCCACCTCAGTAGACCGGTAGACGGATTCATCCATAGCTCCTTCGTGGTGCGTATAGGCAGGTGCAGACGTGACCACCACATTGCTGTTGTTGGTGGCTTGGAGGGTCTCCAGAGATAGAGTCTGGGGGTCTACACACATGACCTCGCCTCCACTGCCTTGCTGAGTCGGCACGACACCCTGATTATGATGTTGATGCAGAGAACCAGGAGGGCTGTTAGCAGTACCGGTGCCCTCAACCACAGAAGACTGACGCTGGAAGTCACTGCGTAACAGTTCCATCAGCAAGGAATTGCTTGACAGATAGGGACTGAGGTCCTTGTCCACCAGCAGTTCACGCGCCAACGAACTGGTCCGCTGCAGTTCGGGGATACGGACCAGAAGCTCCGCGAATTTGTTAGGCACCTCGGGTAAGGTAGCGGCAGTGTGCTCCATGAGCATACGACTAACGCACTCCTGAAATTGCTTGACCTGGCGCACAGCTCTAAGGTTAGCAAGATCTGGCTGCATCAGAAGAATGACCTTGAGACAGGCGAAGTCGACGATAGTGAGGCGAAGGCGTTTGAGGTCCTGAGTCAATTGGAGGAGGTTGCTGACCAGATCGTTGGCACCCTTTTCGCAGGCAACGTCCAGGTTGATGCATTTACTGGAGGTCAGGCGAATTTCCTAAAAGTGGTTAGAATCATGTAAAACGGTAAGCAGAATAAGAAATAACAAAAGCCAAAATTTAGTAGTATAAGGCGATAATGCCGAAGAAAAGCGACTAGGCCGACGAGTTAAACTGGAATAAAAGCACACATATAGAGTTCTAAAATCGTTCAGAATTTACGCTCCCCCGATCCAGCGGCTTTCAGGTTTATTCAGAAACTTCGGTTCAGAGCCCCTGCAGATCGCATGGGAATTAAATGCTGAAATGAGAAAATTTAGCTGACAATGACTAAGGAAACTGGACTGGTAATTTCTGCCTTGTTTGCAGTCCTCAACCAATGACCGGAAGACCAGTTGTTTTCTGAGTCAGAAGTTCTGCTAGGTGAGTCGCGAACTGTAGGCTACGACCTTAAGTATTCCCAATCACGTGACGTTCACCAATCCAGACAAATTGCAAAACGGAATGCGAGTGTTCACTTTGTCCCGGAGTTCAACCGACTGACTATAGCACATAAGCATAAACGTCGAGGGTCTTTTAT